ATATAGAGAAGACAGAAGTGATGAAGATACCGCACCACCACCACCAACAACAACAACGAACTCCAATCACCGTCAACGGGAGAAACTTAAAGGAAGTAACCTCCTTCACTTATCTAGGAAGCACTGTTTCAACTACAGGCGGCACAGGCACAGAAGAGGATGTCAAAGTCAGAATCGGCAAAGCAAGACAGGCGTTCATTAGCCTGAAACCAGTGTGGAGATCTGCACTCAGCATGTGGAACAAGATACGGATTTTCAACACCAACCCAGTCAAGTCAGTGCTCCTGTATGGTTCAGAGACTTGGCGCGTCACGAAAGGGATTTCCAATAAACTACAGACATTCATCAACAACTGCTTACGCTGACTCGCTACTGAAGACCAGATGGATTGCCAGAAAGAATAAGCAACAAGGAACTCTGGGAACGAACCAACCAAGAACCTATCACTCAACAAATATGCAGGAAGAAGTGGAGATGGATTGGCCATGCACTGAGAAGGCCGACTGAGGACATCACGCGTCAGGCCAGTTGCTCGAGTGGAATCCCCATGGGAAGCGACGAGTTGGACGTCCGAGGCTAGGGTGACATGGAGGAGGTCGTGCGAGGAGGAAATGAGAGCTTGTGGACTGTCGTGGGACCAGGTTGAAAAGATCTCAGAGAACAGGATGAAATGGAGACGTGCTACTGAAGCCCTATGTTCCACTAGGAACCCAAGGGACTAATGATAATAATAATAATGATAATAATAATAATAATGTTTAAGCCTTATTTCGCACCTTTTTGCGGCATGTTATGTTTCTTGTTTTCACCGTAGTTTAGAATGTTAGACGCTGATTGGTCCATTTTACACTTTAAATATGCTATTTTGTTTTCCTTGGCCAAGGTCATCTAGGGATATATAAATGACTGAGTTTTCACTTATCATGAATTCGGTTAGAGTGAATAAATTTTCAATCTCATCGTCTTCTGGTGTCAGCTGAATATCGAGTTGAGAAGCCATTGTTCTGTCGTTAATCATATTCATCTCAGAGCGTCGCATCGTTATATATAAGATAGCGTAAGATCTTAACAGTGGCGACGGGGATGGGATCAAAAATGGACTCTTCGAAGTTGGACAGATTTCTCGAACAACAGATGAAGATTGTTGAGTTATTGACTCAGTCCAGAATTTCTGCACCAGAATCATCGAACCCTATGCTTGTTATATCAGCCCCTACAGTCGACGGAATTGCAACCAAGTATCTATCACCTAATTTCATCATAATTCTGATGCTAACGTGACTTTCGATAGTTGGTTCCGAAGATATGAAGAGCACTTCACAGTTGATTTTGCTGGTCAAGATGATTCATAGAAAGTTCGTCTCCTTCTTCCAAAACTTGGTCTATCCGAATTAGATGAGTATTGCAATATAATACTGCCACAGAAACCAAGAGACCGCTCCTTCGATGCCACAATACAGACTCTGAGACAACATTTTGGTGGTCATTCCTCTCTTTTCAATGCCAGATATCGTTGTCTTAAACTGGTCATGAACGAGAACGATGATCGTGAATGCGAAAAATTCAAACTGAAGTCCATCACAGATGGCCAATTCAAATCGCTGATACTCATATGCAGCCTTAAATCGTCCAAGTTTGCAGATGTTAGAATGAGACTGCTAAATCGGTTGGAGCAAGAACCAACACTAACGTTGAATGATATTGCTGCTGAATACCAACAATTGATGAAACTACAATGGGATACAAGTTTAGTCCAATCCGGACGCCAGGGTGATCATGAAGTGCATGCGGTTCGCCAGACATCTAATTTCTCTGCACCCTTTTCTGGCCAAAAGGCCCCTGATTCTTCGTCTCCGTTTCGTCATCCCAACAGCTCATACAATACCAAAAAAACACAAAGAAGACCCCTCTGTCCCCCTGCTGGCATTGTGGCGTATGGCATTTCGTTAAATCTTGTCCTTATAAGCAGAATGAATACAGAGATTGTAATAGTGTGAGTCACAAGGACGGATTTTGCAAGCAGCCCCATCACAATGAACAGGCAGGTCACCGTCGAAGATCAAAGTCTTGACCAGTTGGCAAACGTCATCGTCTGCTTCTGGTGTCAGCTGAATATCGAGTTGAGAAATCATTATTCTATCGTTAATCGTATTCATCTCGGAGCGTCGCATCGTTATATATAAGATAGCGTAGGATCATAACACTAAGGATGAGACATGACCGTCATAAGTAGAAGATATAAAGCGATTGCGATATCTTGATCATAGGTGTCTTTATAGTGTTACTTATGTTTAGTGGAACCACCATTTGAGCAATGTTGAGCTCAGTTAAAGGATACTAGACAAGATAGGCAAGTAGATTGACATGGTTGTAAATATTAGTCGATTGACATGGCTTGGATATGTACTGGTATGCTACGGTAAGTAGAGTTAGGTTGAAACAGGGTTTAGAGTGACCAGACCAGTCGACACAGTCTCTGACTGTTTGCCTAAGCTATATGGGGGAAGATATAGGTTATCTGTATGGCTGATGGCTATGAGATGAAAAGAATCAATGGTTGAGGACTCTTGGTGACAATGGCACAGAATGTATTCACTCCTTAACATCTTGTAAAGCTTGAATATTCACACCAACCTTTATCTTCATACACAACTTTGTCGACTTCGAAATCACTCCTTTTCTATCCATATGTTCTTTGTGTACTTCTGTGAAGTGTGGCAACTTAAACCGATGCACTCTTGTCCAAAAGTTCTACATTGATTTTTTCAGTCAGTCAGTCAGTTAATCAATAGTCAAGTCGTACTACTGACTAAGAGACGAAAAGAGGGGATCACCTGCAAACCTCATGTATATATGTGTACAAGCTGTAAACCAATTTTGAACTACCATCTAGGTAAGATATTATTTTATCCAAAGGTGGTTATTTCTCTCTCTCTCTCTCTAACTAGAGTTGGATAGACTATTGACTTCTACCTACCTTATAAATCTAACTAATGGTTTCTTTTCAGAAATTTGTCTTTCATTTAGTCTGTCGCAAACTTTTGGAAAGCATCCTCACCATTGTAACCAATTTCCAGGCATATCCTCAAATATAGATTCCTATCGTCTCAGAGACTCCAATCAGATAGCCTATATCTCCTCATATGGCTCAGATCAACAATTAATACCTTCATGGACTAATTCCACGTTTTGGTCTGATCACCCTGAACTCTCTTCCAATCTAATCCAACTTTACCCTGAGCATGACACTTCAAGATAGGCAATGGTTATAAATTTATTTACTTTTTATCAAATCGATAATAAACATACTCAAGATGACTAGATTACCATTCCAAGTTTGTACAGTCGACTAATATTTTTTTTATACTGCGTGTGGATTGGAGGTGAAATGAGAATTTGGACTGCTGCCACCCGGTATTCCCGCCCGATGCTCTACCAACTGAGCTACGAAGTTCGACTGCTCACCAGATTTTTTTCCATTTCACTTCAATCGCCATGGGTTTTGCCCGACTACTATGCGAATTTGCTAACACGTTACTACCACTTGATCATATTCACAATGGTTGCCTAGCCAGGACTGAATTAGACGTGAGGGGAGAATGAGCATCATATTGATTATCATTTGACTATGTGAGATAACCGTAATTCGGCAGACTAATATTTATACTGGTTGGTGATTGAAGATGTAATGAAAATTTAGACTGCGGTCGGATTCGAACCAGAGACTACCAGGTTTCTGGCCCGATACTCTACTAACTGTTCTACGAGGTCTGACTGGTGACCAAATTTTTCTATATTTCGCTTTAATCACCAGTCGCTGGTTCGAATCCGTCAGTGGTTCAAGTTTTCATTTCACCTCCAATCATCACCTAGTATCAGTACAAGTCTGCTAAACCATGGCTGCTATCTCAGATAGTCAAAATGATGTTCTCCCCTCTCTAATTCAGTTGGATTTGGATGAGAAGTCCTGACTAGGCAGCGATCAAGTAGTAGTAGTAGTAGTAGTAGTAGTAGTAGTAGTAGTAGTAGTAGTAGCAGTAGTAGTAGTAGTAGTAGTAGTAGTAGTAGTAGTAGTAGTAGTAGTAGTAGTAGTAGTAGTAGTAGTAGTAGTAGTAGTAACGCGTCATAAATTTACATAGTAGTCGGGCAAAACCTCGCTCTTGGTTGAAGTGAAATAAAACTCTGGCCATTAGTCGGACCTCGTCACTCAGTTGGTATATCATCGGACCGGAAACGTGGTAATCGCTGGTTCGAATCCGACCATGGTTCAAACTTTCATTTCACCTTCCATCATTATCATCCCAGTATCAGTAGTAGTCTGTCAAACCTTGACAGATACTGAAAATGATAATATTATCGTGAGCTAATAGAAGTTGAAAATATGAACCATTGGATTCTGACCCAGTGGCTGGTCACGGAACCTAAAGGTCGTGGGTACGCACTACTGAGGAGTCTCATACTAGGACGAAACAGTTGTCCAGTGCTTCCAGGTTTCCTTTGTTCCTCTAATTGATGTTAGTCTACGATGAATAACTACTTGAAATACTTTAAAACAGTTAACAAATAACCTACAGCCTAGAGAATGGGAGTTTATATAACTACTTTTGAGTTGAAGATAGAAATGAACTCAACCACATGGGGATTGGTGCAGTAAACAATGAAGCAAATCTATCTTATGAAGGCTTATGATACTGTCCATGTTTCCAGGTCTGTGTAGGTGATGTTGAGTTCGAATGCATCGTTATGCTTTACTTTACTTCATGAATAGTGTATACCTTAGTGTAACTAATTTGTTTTTGGTTTATCCCCCCCCCCCTTCCTTCTTCGCCCAGCTTATGATGTACTATCTAATGAAGAAAAACGCAAACAATACGATTCTCTTGGTCATAGTTTCTTTACACAACAGTCGAGTGGTGATGGTAGGGGGCATGGTGCTCAAGATTTTGATTTTAACAGTTTCTTTCGAAACTTTGATATGTTTCGTCAACACAGGCGTACTGATGACTTTGGTCATGGTTCATTCTTTAATTTCCATGGATTATTTGATGATGACGATGATGGTGATGATGGTATCTTTTCATCTTTTGGCAATATGTTCCATGATTCTGATGATTCTGGTGGATTCAAACGTCAGGGTAAGTAGTTCTATCTGTATTGTTACTTTTAACACCACAATTATTGTTTTAGTATGGTAAAATGCTGACTGTTCGCAACAAAATTTTATTTGTTTATTATTATTTCGGTTCCTAGTGGAATATGGGGCTTCAGTAGCACATCGCCATTTCACTCTCTTCTCTGCAATCTTCTTAATCTGGCTTCAGGACTGCCCATAACCTTTCATTTCTTCCATACATGATCTGCTCCACAACACCCTCGAATGTCCAAATCGTCGTTTCCCCCTTTGGATTCCACTCGAGGGCGTGGCCTGGCACGTATTGCCCGATCCATCTCTATTTTCTTCTGCATATTTGTTGGGCGACGGGTTCTTGGTTGGTTCATTGCCAGTCAGCCATAGTTCCTTGTTGCTTATTCTTTCTGGCCATCTGATCAACTAACTGAATATTAGTCATTTTGATCCAGGATATTAATGGAATAGAATATTCAGTTCTGCATGAAAAATGAGGCTGTAATAAAAACAGTTTTAAGCTGTTTATCAGACACCCGATAATCTATGAAGGATAGTGGAAAAGTTCACTGACGAACGTGTAAATTGCCAACAATGACTATGAGGCTACTGTTCTGCTCGCTATGATATTTACCTTTCAGACAGATGGACGAAATCGACGTAGAACATCACACACAAGTTCATAGCTTCGAGTTGTCACTGATTCTTATCATCTGGAGAACTCCAGCCGGGTACATACGCGACACAGATCAACAGTGAGGAACTTTATTGACTAATGCTACTACTTGGTATGCCTATCCTGGGCTATCTCGTAACTGAATCCAACTTCTCGTAGCATACCACATAGATGTAAGCGATGGCTCACTAATCGCATCACGTGTCCAAGCCACCTTATTGATCGACTTGCCTGTCTGCTTGTCTTGCCTAGTTACCTTTCCGTTGACTTTACCATTGCTGAGCAATGCTACAGATACACATGTGATCGGAAACCGCTATATATATTCTACTTTAAACACCGATAACTTACAGTTATATGAAAAGATAGAGTGAACTGTAGATCACTAGGCATTTGTCCTTCAATAAGCAGTCGAACATTTCGGCAGTTGGTGGCATATGTATATTCCGTTTTCTTCTTCTTTCTATAGGTCATCAAACTTGTCAGACTCAAACTATCCGAAGAGGTAACACGGTTATTACTCAAACACGTTGCTCGTAATTGTAACTTAATTTGCCAAAACGTCTACTACTGCTGCTGACATATATATATATATATATATATATATATATATATATATATATATATATATATATATATATATATATATATATATATATATATATTGTAACATGTTTCTTTTCTAAGCAGAAATTTTCATCTCACCTCATTCTCAGTCTGAAGACATTTCTTTTCTACAATGGTGAACTGCCTACACTTTTGTACATTCTCTGTAATCATTTATGAAGTTCATTATCATTATTGTTATTACTACTACTACTACTACTCACACTACTTCTACTACTACTCACACTACTACTCACACTACCACTACTCACACTACCACTACTACTACTACTACTCACACTACCACTACTACTCACACTACCACTACTACTACTACCACTACTACTACCACTACTACTACTACTACTACTCACACTACCACTACTACTACTACCACTACTACTCACACTACCACTACTACTACTACTACTCACACTACTACTACTACTACTACTACTACTACTACTACTACCCACACTACTACTACCCACACTACTACTACTACTCACACTACGACTACTACTCACACTACTACTACTCACACTACTGCTACTACTTCTGTTCTATAGGTGAATTACGTAACAAGTTGTTACTGTTCGACGCAGATATATACACGCGCACTCGACTGGAGACACATCACATTGCATCATATTATACTCTTGTTGTTGTTTAGCAAAAGAATGTTTATTTCTTTCACTTTCTTCATATGTGGAATAACTTCATTATTGATTTATGGTTAAAAGGAATCTATGTGCTTATTTTTACCTAGTATTGTGTTACCACCAGTGTCTTTCTTTTTTGTTTATCTTTTTTAACAGTAATAAAAATATAAGTTGTACATCATTGTTGTTGTTTACTGTGTTGTATGGATTATCTGTTTGGTGTACAAGTTAATTATCAGTTATTGATTGTGTTGTGTTCTCTGAACTGCATGGCTTCATCGCCTTTCTAAACGACAGTATAAAGTGAGCTGTCAACATCTCTCTGTGAGTGATTTAGTAGCTTACCCTGACGAACTCGTCTGTGATTGGTTGTTTCCTTTGATTGTTGTGTTATTGACCGCAGAGATTCACCTATTGGCTGTTCCTCTGATTGACCTCCGACCTTGCTGTCGTTTATCATTCTTCTCATCGGTTGATAGATTGGGTGTATGTCTATTCACCTATTGATTGTTGACTGACTGACTGACCTGAATGCTAAGCTTCTAGGAATTCTCTGATGATGTTCTTTGTGTTTCCTTTCTCTCCATCCAAGATTTCTACATTGTCAAAATTCAATTCATGTCCATAGTTGTTATCCATGTGCATTGAGTGATGAGTGATGAAATGCCATGTGTGACGTTTAATGGCCAACTGGTGTTTATGTAGACGAAGGCGAAGAGGGCGACCACTTTGTCCAAGTAGTACCTATCGCAGTTGTTGGAGTTGATTTTGTAAATGATATTCGGTTTATCTTCTTTGGTTGTTGGGTGCTTTGGTCTGCATAATAGTGTGTGGAGGGAATTAGTTGGTTTGTGGGCCCACACCAATTCCATGTGGTCTCAGTAATCTTGTCATGGTTTCTGATGTATTCCTTATATATGGTAGGATGATGCGTTTATTGATTTCTGCGGATGACTCTGTAGTTGATGATGCACAGGATAGTCATCTCCTGATAAAGTTTCATAGGTAGCCATTCTTCTTCAGGATGGACATTAAGTAATTTCCGTTTCTCCTCCCGCTGTTTTGAATAGAGTCTGCATGTAACTAGTTTTGTGCCTTGTTGGGTTCTTCCTACTGTAGTTGAGGATTTGATCATTGTGTATTGGCTTCCTGTACACTTGGGTTTCCGGCATGACATGAATTCAATTTTGGCAATGTAGATGCCTTGGACAGAAGAAACAATGAATATCTCAAGTTGTTATTCATCGTAGACTGACATCAGTTGGAGGTTTTCTTTGTTCCTCCAACTGATGCCAGTCTACGATGAATAACAACTTGAAATATTTCCAAATCTCCACAACTCCCTCAAAAAAATTCAATTGAACTGGTGCTCATTGGTGACTAGCTTCGAGAAGTATTCCCGAAGTTCCAATGAGAAGTCGTCACCGGTGGAGTCAAAGCCTGATGGCCATGAGGACAGATACTCAGCGTGGACATTGGGTGGCGGTTGCGCTATATATCGTGAGCTAACAGAAGTTGGAAATATGGAGCATTGGAATTGACCCAGTGGCTCAATGGTAACGCGCTGGCTGCGGAACCTGAGTGTCGTGGGTTCGATCCCTGCTGGTGAGGTCGTGGGTGCGCACTGCTGAGGAGTCCCATACAAGTCGGACGAAACGGCTGTCCAGTGCTCCCAGGTTTCCTTTGTTCCTCCAACTGATGTCAGTCTACGATGAATAACAACTTGAAATAATTGCAAATCTCCACAACTCCCTCAAAACAATGAATATCATCAGAGAATTCCTAAAAGCTTGGCATTCAGGTCAGTCAGTTAGTCAGCAATCAATAGGTAAATAGACACAGCAATCGAAGGAAACAACCAATCACAAACCATATCGTCAGAGTAAGCTACTAAATCACTCATGGAGAGACATTGACAGCTCACTTCATACTGAAGTTAGCACTGATGATGTCGTGCAGGAGAAAGACGATTAAAGCTTCACGATGAAATAACCCAGCTCAGAGAACACAATACAACCAAGAATAGGCATACACTCAATCTATCAACCAATGACAAGAATGATAAAGAACAGAAAGGTCAGGGGTCAGTCAGAGGGACAGTCAACAGGAAAATCCATCCAATCAGTCAATGACACAGCAATCAAAGGAGACAACCAATCACAAACCAGTTGGTCAGGGTAAGCTCACTTCATATTGTCGTCTATAAAGACGATAAAACCACCCACCTGAGAGAACACAATACAACCAAGATCATCCAACTGAGCTACAAATATTCTCCACCATTTTAATTGTCAATTAATTCATAAGCGTATATCGTATCGTTATTCTGTTGTGGTTGCTGTTAAGAATTTTACAGCTGTGGTTAAAGAATCCATTCGTTTTAATGATTATTTGTTATGTGTAACAATATACTTGAGTCAATTTTATGTGTGCAACCTTGTCTATTAGTATAAGTTCTTCGTCTAGATGTATGTAGGCCGTCGAAGTGGTTATCTTTCAAGTGTTTCAGCTCATAAAGCCGGTGTTCAGGTCACTTGAATTTAATTTGCATGGATTGGTATACAGGGTGGATAGAGTAACAACTAATCTGTACTGATTGGTTCAAACTTCACTACTTATTCTTCTGATTGTCTGTTGTTCTGATCAAGCTGCCTATGCTTTGAAGCTCTAAAACATTTCCCAAAACTACTAGTCTTGTGATACTGAGATTATTCCTGGGCATGACAATCTACCCTTCTTCTGGTAGTTTCTACAGTTTGCTAATTATAGAGTGGATGCTACTGATAGGAATGCACATAACTGGGATATGTTGACAAATGGGTAGAAGTCATAGGTAATTAAGAGCAGTGGGTAAATAATCTGCACAGAGAAATTTAAGAGACAATGTGGGCGTGTGAACAGCAAAACGAAGCACATTACACCACAAATGAATATCTCGATGGGGACGTTACTACATTTCATCGGTAATGTGTCGTAATCAACATTCTTCTGCGTTTCATCCTTTGCTGTCTCCTTACAATTGGTGTTACTGCTTCTGGACGTGATGAAGATTACGTCACCTGCAGTCTTCTAGGATGGTCTTGCTCTAGAATTTCGAGAAGTTGGTGGGTGTCCGAAGGTTGTGGT